GCGTTAAAATTAAAGAGACATTTCTTACGCTCGTTAACAGATTGAAGAGTTCTGCTGCCAGATTCTCTTTCTTTTTACATGCCATGTCCTTTTAGGACGTAGGCGATCATCGCTCTCTACCTTCCTCTATCCCTTGCTGCTTTCAACAAGTTCCCCCCCTCTGCTTCCTCCCCCAGACCACGTTCTGTCATCCACTTGCTCAAGTCCGCCAGGTATATCACGAGTTGTTTTCCCTTTCCTCTATTCGACCCGTGAGTATCAAATTCTCCAGGCCCTCCTTCCTCACTGCCTCTTCCTGATATTAAGTATAAGCCTCCGCCTTGTTTGCAAATTCTCTAAGATCTCTTCGTTGCTCACACGCTCGGTCCATGATAAGCTTAGCATCCTTCTGTAGAACCATATTTGTTGTCTAGAGTCTCTTCATCTTTGAGGAAATCGTCCAACATTCGCTGCCGTAAAGAAGGACAGATGTTACGTAACAGTTCAGTGTTCTTTTATTTGTTATTAAAAATATCCTCCTGTCTCTCAGTACTCTGTCCAGCTTTTGGCATGTGTCCTTGGCCATCCCAATACGCATACGGATTTGTGTCGCAGTTACCGTCCTTTGTCAAGATGCTTCTCAGGTATTTAAACTTCCGCGTCTGCTTAATTCTTGTGTTCCCGACTTTCAGATCGCATTTTGGGCTCACACTCTTACTGACGACCATGGACTCCATCTTGTAGTTTATGTTTAGTCCCTTCTTCTCATTCTCCGTAGCTAAAAATACGTATTTATTACGTGAATTTTTATTTGAACTTTTCATCATGATTCTATTTATGGAGTTTAATATTAATCATTTAACTAAAAAATAAAATCAATTACCTGTTTTAGTTTATCAATCAGATATTGATTACATGTATAAAAACATTTACGCTTGCTATCAAATGGGGGCTCAAAGTAATAGTGAAAATCAATGCAGAACTGGTCCTCTACTTTATGTCTGCACTACACATGATTGCTTAATGTAGTATTGCTGACATGCCTGTGCTGGTGCTACCAGTCCCCTCTGTCCAGCCTTGAGAGTGTTCAGTGTGGGTGAGGAATTATTTTTCACCTTGCAACACCTTTCCCCACAGATGAAATGTTACTAAGATCTCATTACTCTATAGCTATTACTATTGCAATTCTAACAACATTACATTTCTTAGTCCTATTAGATCAGACCTTCAAGCTACAACCTGCCATGTCCACGGGGGCAAATTATTTCTCATTCCCTTTGTGTTCCTATTGTAAAGAGTAAGTTCCATTCAATCAGCTTCATCTCCATAACTGTTACAGATTCCCAAGAGGATATTCCACTGACCACTAAAGTCTTAACCTCCTCAAATCCAGGGTCAACCGATATCTATCCTACATATCCTCATCATATTCACTTCCCTCGTCTTCCGATTTTAAAACAATCTCATTTAATAACCATTTCCCATGAATGACCCCTGGGCTTTTCAACGGGTGAACTCAAGTTAAAAAAGAAGCTCTTTTTTTCACATTTAATTTCAGGATAAATATATAGCAGATGTATTAATTATTATCCCAACAGTAAATAAACTTCCAATCTTCTATGTACAGTGTCTCTTCAAGACATGGGCAATCATTGCTCTCCTCACTTTTCTATCCTTTGTGACTTTTAGCAATATTTGCCTTTTTACTATCTCCACACACCCAATTCTGTAATTCATTCACATAATCTCAAGTAGGTGGCTCGGAAGTTCACCTTGTCCATTTTGCATTTGACATGAAACCCTTTTTCCTCATGAAGTGTACCAGAAATTTCAACTGATTCTTTCTTATTCTAATAACAAGTGTAATTTTGGTTTCGATTTTCCTGAAAAATTTCCCACTGTTCACATGTTCCATCAATGGTATTCCCAGTGTCCTTCTGTCGAATTACATCTTTGATTCAAATCTCTTCATCTGTGAGGAAATTGTCCAGCATTCGCTGTTATGTAGGAAGATCGAGATTACATAGAAGCTGAGTAAACTTTTCTTTGTTTCCAATGAAATTTTCCTTTTTCTAACTACTTGGTTTAGTTTTAGAAAGGCATCTTTTTTTTTTTTATCACAACGAGTCTTCGTATTTTGGCGTCACATTTTCCATTCTCTTTTACAACATTTTCCAGACATTAAACTTCAGAACTTGCTTGATTTTGTCTGCGTAAAATTTAAATCTCATTTTTGTGGTTGTACCTCCAATCGTGTTTGAGATGTTCGCAGAAATAAACATGTATCTGATGTAGAGAAATTCATGCATTCTTTTAATGTCATTACTCAAAATTTACAGGAGAAAAAGAAAGTTTACTTATTGAGAAACATCCATATGGTCTCAGTTGTCTGTGAGACTTCTGATCTGTAGCCTTTATCTCTTTGGATTAAGAGAGCCATTTAGTGTCATTTAGTGTTGACTGACTATTGCAGCTTCAGATTTGGTTTTAATAGATACAAAAGCTAAGGCTTTTGAATTAATCCAGACGAACATCGATTGGTTGAAAATTCTTTTTATAACTCCTGATAGGTTTTCTACTACATCTGCAAATGTCTCATTTTTTGATAGTTGATTCTCTTTCTGTCTGACGTAACTTTTTTTAATTTTATTATTATTATTTATTTTATTATTTATAATATTTATTTTTTTTTATTATTTTTTATTTATTTTTTTATTATTTATAATATTTATTTTTTTTATTATTTATAATATTTATTTTTTTTTATTATTTATAATATTTATTTTTTTTTTTTTATTTATATATTTATTTTTTTTATTTATAATATTTTTTTTTTTTTTTTTATTATTTATAATATTTATTTTTTTTATTATTTATAATATTTTTTTTTTATTTATAATATTTTTTTTTTTTTTTATTTATAATATTTATTTTTTTTTTATTATTTATAATATTTATTTTTTTTATTTATAATATTTTTTTTTTTTTTATTTATAATATTTTTTTTTTTTATTTATAATATTTTTTTTTTTATTTTTTTTTTTTTTATTTATAATATTTATTTTTTTTTTTATTTTTTTATTTTTTTTTTTTTATTTTCTTATTTCATTCATTTCATCTCATTTATTTTATTTAATTTTATTTATAATATTTATTTATTTATTTTTACACACCAGTTGTTTCGTTATTTTTTTTTCAAGATAATGGGTGGGGAGGTTAAGCTTTGTTAGATCTGACTGACTCACCGATCAAGCAAAGCCGCATAGTGCCTTATGAACTCAAATCCTTCCTAGATTTACCAAAGTTCATATCTGCTCAGTTTCGTATCCGTACATAAACCAAACAATTTCGAAAGAAGTCATCTTTTATGTGCCGTGTCTCTTCAGGACATAGGCGATCATGGTTCTCCATTTTCTCCTATAACTTGTATCTCTCAATATGTTGTCTTTTTGCTACTTCTCCCAGATCCTGTTCTGCCATCCACTTGCTTAAGCTCGCTAAGTATGTCATATGTTGCTTTCCCTTGTCTCTCTTTCCCTCTATCCGCCCAGTGAGTATCAGATTTTCCAAGCCTTCCTTTCTCATTAAGTGTCCCAGAAATTACAGCTGCCTCTTCCAGATGTTCAGTATACATTTCCTCTTTGTTTGCATCCTCTCCAAAAAATATGTATAAAAACAAAAAACACTTTTGAAGCACACTATTGAGAAATACAGAAAATTCGTGGAATGAGGTTTGTGTTAGCGAAAGAGACCTTTTTTTTTTGAGGGGCGAGGCAATTTTCCATCCTTTTACGGATGAATGCCACGATGATCAAGGCTCTCCACAACTTCCTATCTCTTGAAGCTCTTGGTAACGCTTGTCATTTTGCCATCCCTACAACTACCTGTTCCGTCATTCCACGGCACAAGCTAGTCATATAGTTGGCTCGTTGGCCCCGCTCTCTTACCTTAGATACATCTTGTGATTTTGAAAATTCTCCAAGCCCTCCTTTCTCATTATGTGTCCTACGACTTTCAGTTGTCTCTTTCTGGTTTTGAGTGTAAATATCATTTATCGACCCATTTTCTTTAAGGCTTCCTCGATGCTTACAACGCTCTGTGCATGGTATTCTCAGCATCCGTCTGTAGAACATTATTTCATAACTATTCATTTTATGCATTTATGACGGATGTGTGTGTGTGTTTTTTGAGAGCTTTTCGACTATCAGGAAGGGATTAAAAATATCTGATTGGTCATATTTTTGATGAGGCCGAGAATCTTTCAGTCATCCCCAGTACACGGTTATATATAATCACGTTCGTTCTCTCTCTCTCTTTGTGGTTACATAACTAAATTTTAATTATGTGCGAGGTTACTGAAAAGTTCTCAGCTAGAACACGAAAGTTTGGTTTGGTTTATTTTGTTTAACGACATATCAACCTCAATGGGTTATTTAATGCCGATAACATTTTTAGGATAGATTCATATGAATAGAGTATGTATTCTTTGGTTTGGTTTATTTTGTTTAACGGCATATCAACCTCAATGGGTTATTTAATGCTGACAAAACTTTTTATTGCTGGTAATATTTTGTTTTGTCAAAAATCTGTTTCTGGTAATCTATTTCCTTCAAAATTGTATTTCTGGTAATATTTTTTTTTTCCAAAAAAGTATTGCTGGTAATATTTTTTTTTTCCAAAAAAGTATTTCTGGTAATATTATTTTTTTTCCAAAAAAGTATTGCTGGTAATATTTAACTATTTGCCCATAGCTGGGACCCTAACAGGTGCTGCCACCCCCAGGTCAAGGTGTACCTGGGAACACTAGCAATTAAGAGGTGGTTCTAAGCTCCTCAAAATCTCCTGTTCAGAGGCCTTGCTGCTGGACGTAGTTGAACGTCTTACCCAGGACGCCAAACCACGAAAGGATTTAAAATATATTTGGTTAGATGTTGAATGTAGTTTAGCCTAGAAAATTTCAGTATTTCCTTGTAATTGTGTTTTAAAAGCAGTTTTCCCTCCACTTTCTTCTTCAGGTTCAACAGTCATACCACGTTGAAACACCAGTTTTCGTACGATCCCCGAGGTTAAGCAACGTCGAGCTTGTTCAATACCTAAATGGGTGACCACTTCGGAATACCAATTGCTGTAAACTTGGATGTGCGAGTGGTGTAATGGTTCGGAATTAGAAATCACAGAGCGGTGTTCCACTTCCAGTCAGGTTCATTATATTCATTAACGTGTAAATACTCTTGGGAATTATATAAATCCACCTCTTCTCCACTCTCGAAATACCGGATAATTAGTAGGACTTGTTAGTAAATCATTATTATCTCCAAAAAATTCTTATAATCTAAAAATATTATCTGGCTTTAAAATAGACTGCAAAATATTGACAAGCTGCAAAAAAGAAATCAGTCTTCAGGATCCACACATCACCGTCCTAGAATCTTTGCAGGAGGAAATATAATGAATAGTTTCTGTAGAAGACGGAAAAAATGGTTATTTTCCAACAGTACGGGGTTCATGTTCGAGTTTGGTTTGGAACAGTGGTTGAAAATGTTGATTTACAATGCATTCAGACTTGAAAATTGTTCCAACACAATCATTCGACACTCATTCAGATTATTAAATGTCTTGTCATAAAAATTCAAATCTGCTCCTCAGACTAATCAATGTTATATAAAAGAATTTTATTTCTTAGTTTGATGAAAGATCTTTGCAATCTTGAAGTTAATCAAATGAATATTTATTAGCTTTTTGTGAGCCGGGAGTTTCACTTTTTAGCATAAACTATCCGAATACGGCTAGAGAAAAGTTAGCTTTTATAGAAGTTCTTTTAACTCTATAAAATGTATGTATTAACAACATTTTCAGCAAGCCATCTGTTTTCTAAAGTTCCTTTCGTCATTATTCTAATTCCATTTAAATTACTTGCTCTTGTCATAGATTCATAGAGTTGACCAGGAGAGAAACATTTGAATAAATTTAATGTTTGTATTTAAAAAAATTATAAAAATTATTTCTAATTTATTTTTTTCACTTCTTTAAATAATTTACTACAGATTTAAGAAAATATAAATAAACAGATTATTTCAACTTAGATGATTTTGTAATGTTTTCCGATCCGTTCGACTATTTGTGAAATATCATACGACAACAATGATTACTAGGAACGCTGCAGAAAATAAAATCATAACTAAATGTTGCCGGGCCTAAAATTATAGAATTCCAAAAAAAGGATCATTTTACTTTTAAATTATTTACTTTATATATATATATATATATATATATATATATATATATATGCGTGTGTGTGTCATCCACAAACAGACTGTTTCGTTGTATCACAGCTCTTCAGTGTGGCTAGACGTCCGTTTGCCTCTAGCTAGGATAGAAACCCGGCTGAATTGGCGTCAGTCGGAGATTCTCCTACCAGATTGCCGTTTTTTTTAACAGGTATTATATATATATATATATATATATATATATATATATATATATATATATATATATATAAAATATAAATAATTTTTTTTATTTATTAATCCTAGAGATTTTATCACTTAAAACGTCATTTTTATATGGGTACCTATATTTGAGTAGACACTGTTTGTTTATTAAACAATATATTTATTTATCTATTGTCTCCCGGCTTGAATATTTGAGAAATCTTATTAAAGAAAAAGATGCTCCCTCCGGCATGTTTGAGTCCTACTGGAGGACATGTCTTTTTCTTTAATAAGATATATATATATATATATATCTCAAATATGGATTAAATTCAACAATGATAAAACGAATTACAAATCTTTCCTATTTTTTCCTTATTCTATCACTCACATACACACAATTACATTTATTTTTATGTAAACACTGATTTTACAGATTATGTGATCAGTCTGTCGTTGTTCGTCTGGATTTCTTTGTCGGGGTCATTTTAGTTGTAGATCAATGATTCTCAATGAGGGGCACATGCCCCACCAATTGGGCATGGTAATATTTTGGTGGGGCATGCGTAGGATGTGCACCCTTCGGCTACACTATACCAACGTGAGCTCAAATTTCATTTGCATTCTTTAATTTAATGATTAAAATGATCAAAATATATTAAAGAATAAGCTTTCATTCAAATATTTTATATTTCTGTCTTTCAGTTCTCTATTATATGTTTTGAAGTTATCTATATTTAACAGTCTTTTTCAATTTTTCTCTTTCATAGACGCCATAGTCTTTGGAGGCTTGTTTTGAGATCAAGTTAATGGCCTTTTAACCTTCTTTCACGTGAATTGCAGTAAAATTTTGAATATGTAATAATTAAATATTAACGGGGGCACCAGAATTTTATAAAATACCATGGCCCCAAATCGGTTGGGAACGACTGATGTAGATTATTATGTTTCTGGTCATACATTTTGGGGAACTTTTTCTTTTTTCCGGCAGTTATGAAGCTGCTAGTCTCTCTTGTAACATGGTTAACTTCTTAAGCAAATACTTTCTTGGCCTTTTTAAAATAGCAGGCGGCTGAAGTGTCTATTAAATTTATTCAAATGTTTCTCTCCTGGTCAACTCTATGAATCTATGGCAAGAGCAAGGCCTCTGATCAGGAGGTTTTGAGGAGCGTGTAACCACCTCTTAATTGCTGGTGTTTCCAGGTCCACCCTGACTCAGGGGTGGTAGTACCTGTTAGGGTCCCAGCAATACAATTTTGAAGGAAATAGATTATAACATATATATATATATATATATATATATATATATATATATATATATATATATATAAAATAATCGACTCTCCCGTCGAGATTCGACGTATGAGGGTCAAGCAGATCAGTTTCCAGGAAACCGACAGCCCGACACCGGCACATGAGATTTGATTATAGTGGTGAAGGCCTCGTGCAGGACCATCCACACTTTTTGAAGGGACGAATACAGAGACCTGGTGCACCGAATGCCACAACCAAACGACCCTCCGTAGGTTTTGAATTCAGAGTTGTCCTTCTCCTAGACCAGTTGCCATCCAAGGCTATAGAACCCAGTCTGTCCTGCTATTTTACCTATAGCTGGAGGGAAAGTAAGAGGATTCATACCTTTCATGGGTATGGGTATTATATATATATATATGTATATATATATATGTGTGTGTGTGTGTGTGTGTATATATATATATATATATATGTGTGTGTGTGTGTGTGTGTGTATGTATGTATGTATGTTATAATATATATATATATATATATATATATATATATATCTCGCTTAATTTCCGGTAGCAATAGATAATTAACTTGACTTCATTTTTATTGGTAATAGTTATTGAATAACGACTGTAGACTACCAATAGAGCACTTATTCATTTATTTTTATTTTTTCCTTCTGTGTGCCATCTCCCTTCAGGACGTTGGCGATCATGGGTCTCCACATTTTCCTGTCTTTTGTTGTTTTTATTAAATTTTGACTTTGTTATATCTCTGTCCCACTCTCCTATTCTGCCATCCATTTACTCAAGCTCGCTAAGTAGGTTATGCATTGTTTTCCTCTATCCCTCTTGCCTTCAATCGGTTCTGTGTGTATCAAAATTTCCAAGCCATCTTTCCTCACTATGTACACCTAGAATATTCAGCTGTCTCTTTCTGATGTTAAGTAAACGTGTCCATTTTATTTTCATCTTCTCTAAGACTTCCTTATTGCTCACATGTTCGCTCCATGGTATTGTCAACATCATTCTGTAGAACCTTATTTCTTTTGCTTTTTTCTTGGTCTGAAGAGAAAGTCCAGCATTCACTGTAAGAGGACTAACGTTGTGTAACAGTTCACTACTCTTTATTTAACTAACACACTGTTATTATACGTTCATTACTAAGCAATATATATCGGTAATTATAAACCTTCTGTTAGATTCAAACTAATCTCTTATTCTTTGAAATCTGTCTTAGATTGAAAGTCGCCTTACCAACAAGGATTCAGAAGTCAATTTGTTACGTTTTCTCAAGTCTAGCCAAAGAGTGATTATTTTTCCAGAACGCCTGATACATCGCCATTTTGTTTACATATACTAGTAGTATTAGATTTAGGATTTTTTTTAAATTTTTTTTTTTTTAAAGATGAAACAACATCTATTATTGCTTGAATACTATTTCTTTCATTTCTACTGTTTTTTTTTATTGACAGTCCAAGATTGTAATTCCCCGATATTCGAATATCATCATCAGTGCTTATTCGGCTAATCAATGTGTAGATGAAGCTGATTCTTCTGATGGATCAATTTTCAAAGTTCTAATTGGCCATTATTGCCCTGTGTTGGCCTCATCGATGTCAATAGCTGGCACTCTCCTGCAGAGACGATAATGAAGGCAACTTGAATAACACTACTTCAACATTTCGGTTGACACAACCTCATGAATTAGAAATAGAGGTGTCTTGCTGGTTGAAATAAAAGAGGCGGCCGGTGAGATCAGCGTTGATTAACTTAATGCATAAATTGGCAGCTTTTATGACAAAATCAACATAATTTATCTCTAATGTAATAAGTGTCCACTGATGAAAGCTATAAATAAAAGTCATTCCCGTGAAAGATCAGACACCACCGAAAGGCACAAGGCCATTTACGCTAGAGGTACAAGGGAAAATCAGAGGCCGGTCACTTGTCAAATTATAAGTTATTAAATCCCTGAGAACATCTTTGATGGTTTCATGGAAACTAAGCTATGTTTACAGACTTAAGACATTTCGTATGCAAAGACTTGATTAGCTTAATGATTGTAAAGAGATTAAATGCAAGCTTAAGAGCAGAAATACATATTAAAATAAGTCATCTATCTTCATAAAGTTAATTCAAATATATTGAAAGTTTAACACCTTTTCAAATGTTCTCTGTAAATTACGAAATGACACGGGTCGATTTAGTGGAATTAGTGACGTAATAACCAATTCTGAGCAGCCTGATCGAATTTAATGTGGAAGCATTTAGGGGTGGGGAATAAAACCATCAGGACTAGGCATGTTTGTTGATCGAGACAGAGCCGGCATTTCCGGCAGTGACTAGTGTTTGGGCTAATTTAGAATAAGATTAAATCTGAAGGCGAAATTTACAAAATAAGCCTCAAAATTGATGTTCCAAGAAATACATAGGTGAAACATCTAGGAATTAAA